CACTTCTGCCTGAAGTGGTCCGCCAGCCAGTTTTTGACTCCCAAGAAAGTCATTGGTACTTCTGGCTGAGGCTGGGCAGCCCCGGTTTTCGCCAGAGTGTCAGCTATCTCATTGCGACTGATGTTGATGTGCCCTGGTATCCATTGCATTTTGACCTTGCACCCTATTTCACCAAGTCTGCATATGTCGTTGTGAATGACGTCGACCAGGCGTGTGGTACCCTGCCTCTTCTCCAAGATCTCAAGAGTAGATCTTGAGTCTGAGAAGACAACAATATCAAGCCCCGCATGTTCCGTCCCTTCCAGAGTGATATGGACTCTCTCTAGGGCCTTGTGCATAACTATAAGCTCCGCGTCAAAGTTTGACGCTGTATTCCCACAAGGCCCCGAGAGTTTTTCATTAGGTGGTCCACCTACTGGGTACTGAGTAAGCGCACCGTACCCAGCAGTTCTTTTCCTAAGAGCCGTCCGTGAACACTTTCACAGGTATGTGCGTGAACACATCCATGGTCTCAAGGGCAGCCACTCTCTGTACGTGTTCAGGGTTGCGCTACGTCACTGCTGCATCTGTCAAGGCCAAATGTATGGAGGGACGTGAGGGTTCCGCATAAGGCGGATTAACTGGGATTTAAGTCAGACGTTCTCTATTTGGGGGCAAGGGGACTGTCCTTTCCAGCTCCACGACCTGTTGCATGAAAGAGGACCTCTTCAGTCTCCTGCCATCCACCCAGTTATTTTGCATTTGAAAGGATGGTTCGTTTTCACCAAGCCGTCGGTACCTCTCTACGGTATTTAAGAATGATTTTTCCCTCCTAATTTGTAGTGGTTCTACATTGGCCAAGACTTCTACAGCAGCTGTGGGAGTAGTCCTGTATGCGCCACAGATGAATCTCAGTGCCTGATTCTGGATTCGGCCCAGTTTTTCCAGTGCGGTCTTGCTTGCAAAGGATTGGACCGGCATGCTGTAATCCATCACCGACCTTACACTGCTTAGAAAGAGAGCTCTAAGCGTACTTGCGCTCGCGCCCCAACTTGTGCAAGCCAATTTTTTCACCAGGTTGAGCTTGGCGGTCGCCTGGGAGCAGAGGTCCTGTACAAAATTGTGCATTTGTACCTTTTGGTCCAACTTAACTCCCAGGTAGACCGGTTGTTTGTCCCACTTGAGCGCTACATCGCCCACCTTGAGCTCGATCTCCTGTTTGAGAATGGTCCGCCCATTTGTGAATAGTGAATAGACCGTCTTCTCGGTGTTAATTTCCTGATGCCACCGCCGCATGTACCTGTTGATAGCAGAGAGGTCCTGCTGTAATAGCGTTTGCAGGCGGTGGACATCCTTCCCGGTGCTCCAAATTACCAAATCGTCCACATACATGGCAGAGCTAGTCGTTAGCACCTGTGGCAGGTCATTGATGTAGGCAAGGAAGAGGGTGCAACTGAGGGCAGACCCTTGCGGGAGTCCTTCCTCAAGTGTCCTCTTCCTGGAGGTTTCACCGCCGAATTTCGTGTTTATCGTCCGGTTTGTGAGGAAACCGGAGATCCACCTGTACATGTTCGCGGTTACTCCCAACTTCTGCAAGGTTTATCGAGTTTCTTCCCTTCTTTGGGAATAGGGACAATGGTAGCGCTTAGCCAAGCTTTGGGTAGGATTCCCGATACCCATGTTCTGTTGATAATTTCCAATAGCGTTTTCCTTGCTATTGGGCAAAGGTTTTTAATCATTTCATTGCAGATCTTGTCCTGACCTGGTGCCTTGGCGGCGTCGCACTTGTTAATGGCGGTTTGCAATTCGGCCAGTCCTGAATGTGGCAATAATACATTTATTACTGAACTACACCATCGTCCCATGAAGTTGGAAGGAAGCCAACAACATGCCCTTTTGTAAACACCCCATTTATGCAATCATTTTTAAACCTTGGAAAAAAAAGCCAATAATATATATAAATCAAGTATCGATCCGTCTAGCTACAGCCCCATCTTATACTTAATTTCATTAATTAATTCCCCTAGAAGTATGTATTCATTGATGGTTAATGCGTGTACAATATGCTACTTTCATTTCATTAAAATGTGATCTAGGTGTACAAATATGGACCTTCTACGATGCATTCAGTGAAACATGTTTGTGTCTAATGAAACTGAATAGAAATCCTTTTATCAAATGGCGTTTGATTGCGCAGAAAAAAAAATTAAGAGATACTCAAAAAATCTATCAACCAATCGAAATCGAATCATTCATCGAATCAGAGGCTTATAAAGCAACGACTGGGGAGAGTCTTGAATTGAGTGTTCATTTTTCATCAGGTGTTGTTGGACTGTGTGACAGAACTTGCGAGACTTGTACTGGAAAATTGAGATGCAGTTTGGTGATTGTTGATAAAGAGTAATTCGTTATAAAAAAATAATTAAACAAGCAACAACAACACCTTGTCATTTATGCGTCTTGATATTTCATATTACAGACGATCCCAAAAAAAAAAAAGATTAATACATATGATATTAGGACATGTGTTGGTCAAAAATAATGTGTACCAATTGGCGACTTCTAATTTGCATTGTAACATACTTCGTGTTCGCAAACGCAATTGGCATATTAAAATCAAACTTAACAAGGCACAAAGCTTGTCCGAACATCAATGACTTTACGTTAGTTCTTCAAAGATGCGCAGACTTTCAGAAGTCGCAAAGTTTTCTCCATTGCATTTCCCAATGTACTGCAAACAAAACCTGCAACGGAATCGTGCGAGACAGTTCCAAGACGTGCTACTTTTACAAGCCGTGTGCTTACTTGGATTTCGTCGACTCGTGCAGTAAGATTCCTGTCTGGGTGTACAAGAAACCTGACCCGTGCGGTGCTGGAGCCGTATTCAATGCATCGCTTGGCGTGTGCGTTTGTAAACCAGGATGGACGGGCTCAGACTGCAGCACGGCGCCAACCAGTTGCAATGACCTCTTGACCCCCAAACAATATCCCGTGGGGTATTACTGGGTGGACATTAAGAACGCCGACGGGACAATATCCACATTATTCTGTGAAGTTATCGCAACTGGCTACAGATATCACGTGTTTCGCAACAATGGGCTCGTCAGTCATAACAAAACCTATTCTGACTACGTTAAAGGATACAAAATCGACGAAAGCAACTTCTGGATAGGACTGGATAACGTTTACAGATTCTTCTTAATTTACAACTCCCTTCAATTTAAGATGGAGGCTATCTTCGAAAATGACGCAGTCATTGCATCTTGGAAAAACACAGGTGTTAGTATTGATAGTCCCTCTAATTTCTATAACATAGATTTTTCGGGGTCATCTACTTCAGCTTCTGGGTCTGGCTACTCGATCTCCGTCTCCAGCTGTCTGTCCAGTGGCGGGAAGCCGTTTTCTACCTGGGATAACGACCACGATGGTTCTCCGTCCAATCTGGCCGCTCAGGCGGGGGCCGGCTGGTACTTCGGCTCCTCGTTGTCTTGTAACCCTCTGGGTCAGCTGCCAAGCTCAGGTGCAACTGCGGGCTACATGGCCTTGCCTAATCTAGACATGGTGAACGGTGCATACCTTAGTAAATTTAAATATGTTATGGGCTACTTTTACTAAGGTTGTATCATGTTGATTTAGTTGTAAAGCCCCGTGAAGCAATCCCGAATTTAAGAATTATTTATATAATAATACCATGAATTCTCGGACGCCGCTCCCAAGATGACTTAATTTTATCTGTGCACATTTTAAGCTTACGTAATAGTTTAGAGTTTTTTTTTAAAAAAAGTTTTCAGGTCGCGTCTAGTGTGTTTTATCTGCTTTGACGGGTCATCTTGTGTTTTTTATCCGAGGAACACCGGACACATGGATTTTTTTGGACATCTATGCCATACGCCAGTTCCATATTCGCCTTATTGGAAAAAAATGGTAACGTCATCTTGTAAACAAATGGCAAAATCAAATCAACCATTCAAAGATAAAGCAACTACAGACAGAAGAGCTGTCTGATATCTTGGAGAGGAAAAACGAGAACTTCATTCAAACAAAATTCCAAGACTCTTCTTACTGAATAACTCACCAATTAAAGAACGATACTTAACTTCTTTTTTAAAACTCAATACTTATATCAAAAATTTGTTCACTGATATTATTCTTATTTTTTAATAATATAGCCCAAGTTGATATAATATATTTCTCTCTTTTTTTTTTTGTTGTGGGTTGGGGTGGGGGGTGGGCGATATTTATGTAAGTGTCTTAATAATTGGGAAAATATTACAAAAACATTTGTGTAAATAGAAAGATGTATGAATGTTAGATGTATGAATGTAAGATGTATGAATGTAAGATGTATGAATGTAAGATGTATGAGTGTATGATGTATGAGTGTAAGATGTATGAAAGTAAGATGTATGAGTGTAAGATGTATGAGTGTATGATGTATGAGTGTAAGATGTATGAATGTAAGATGTATAAATGTAAGATGTATGAATGTAAGATGCAATAATGTAAGATGTACGAACGTAAGATGTATGAATGTAAGATGTATGAATGTAAGATGTATGAATGTAAGATGTATGAGTGTAAGATGTATGAATGTAAGATGTATGAATGTAAGATGCATGAATATAAGATGTCTGAATGTTAGATGTATGAATGTATGATGTATGAATGTAAGATGTATGAATGTAAGATGTATGAATGTAAGATGTATGAATGTAAGATGTATGAAAGTAAGATGTATGAGTGTATGATGTATGAGTGTAAGATGTATGAAAGTAAGATGTATGAATGTAAGATGTATGAGTGTAAGATGTATGAGTGTAAGATGTTTGCGTGTAAGATGTATGAGTGTAAGATGTATGAGTGTAAGATGTATGAATGTAAGATGTATGAATGTAAGATGTATGAATGTAAGATGTATGAATGTTAGATGTATGAATGTAAGATGTATGAGTGTAAGATGTATGAATGTTAGTTTTATGAATGTAAGATGTATGAATGTTAGATGTATGAATGTAACATGTATGAATGTAAGATGTATGAATGTAAGATGTATGAGTGTATGATGTATGAGTTCAAGATGTATGAATGTATGATGTATGAATAAAAGATGTGTGAGTGTATGATGTATTAGTGTAAGATGTATGAATGTATGATGTATGAATAAAAGATGTGTGAGTGTAAGATGTATGGATGTAAGATGTATAATTGTAATATGTATGAATGTTAGATGTATGAATGTAAGATGTATGAGTGTAAGATGTATGAAAGTAAGATGTGTATTTGTGTAAATAGAAAGATGTATGAATGTTAGATGTATGAATGTAAGATGTATGAATGTTAGATGTATGAATGTAAGATGTATGAATGTAAGATGTATGAATGTTAGATGTATGAATGTAAGATGTATGAATGTAAGATGTATGAATGTAAGATGTATGAGTGTATGATGTATGAGTGTAAGATGTATGAATGTATGATGTATGAATAAAAGATGTGTGAGAGTATTATGTATGGATGTAATATGTATGAAAGTAAGATGTATGAATGTAAGATGTATGAGTGTAAGATGTATGAGTGTAAGATGTATGAAAGTAAGATGTATGAATGTAAGATGTATGAGTGTAAGATGTATGAGTGTAAGATGTATGAAAGTTAGATGTATAAATGTAAGATGTGTGAATGTAAGATGTATGAAAGTTAGATTTATGAATGTAAGATGTATGAATGTAAGATTATGAATGTAAGCTGTATGAGTGTATGATGTATGAGTGTGAGATGTATGAGTGTGAGATGTATGTGTGTAAGTTGTATGAGTGTAAGATGTATGAATGTAACATGTATAAATATAAGATGTATGAATGTAAGATGTATGAGTGTAAGATGTATGAATGTATGATGTATAAATAAAAGATGTGTGAGTGTAAGATGTATGGATGTAAGATGTATGAATGTAAGATGTATGAATGTAAGATGTATGAATGTAAGATGGATGAATGTAAGATGTATGAAATTAAGATGCATTAATGTAAGATACATGGATGAAAGATTTATGAATGTAAGATGTATGAATGTAAGATGTATGAATGTAAGATGTATGAATGTAAAATGTATGAATGTAAGATGTATGAGTGTAAGATGTATGAATGTAAGATGTATGAATGTAAGATGTATGAATGTAAGATGTATGAGTGTAATATGTATGAATGTAAGATGTATGACTGTAAGATGTATGAGTGTTAGATGTATGAGTGTAAGATGTATGAGTGTAAGGTGTGTGAGTGTAAGATGTATGTGTGAAAGATGTTTGAGTGTGAGATGTATGAGTGTGAGATGTATGTGTGTAAGTTGTATGAAAGTAAGATGTATGAATGTAAGATGTATGAATGTAAGATGTATGAGTGTAAGATGTATGAATACAAGATGTGTGAATGTAAGATATATGAATGTAAGATGTATGAATGTAAGATGTATGAATGTAAGATGTATGCATGTAAGAAGTATGAATGTAAGATACAATAATGTAAGATGTATGAACGTAAGATGTATGAATGTAAGATGTATGAATGTAAAATGTATGAATGTAAGATGTATGAGTGTAAGATGTATGAATGTAAGATGTATGAATGTAAGATGTATGAATGTAAGATGTATGAATGTAAGATGTATGAATGTAAGATGTATGAATGTAAGATGTATGAATGTAAGATGTATGAATGTAAGATGAATGAATGTAAGACGTATGAATGTAAGATGTATGAATGAAAGATGTATGTGTGTGAGACGAAGTATGTTTAGAAATAGTTGTGATATTAACGAGTTAAAAGCACAATAAAAACGTTGAACAATACGCACCAATCTTATATCAAATGTTGAGTTCATTACACCACTAAATAAATTGACATTTTTTTAACAAAGTTGATGTATATAGTTTTTGGTTTATATCATAGTATATATTTAATACGTATGTAATTGGATGAAGGTCAAAGTCTCATCAAATCATGATTACAACGTAAGTATATGTTTATTCCGTCGATATCTGACGTGTATAACTTGATGAAGGTCAAGGTCTCATAAGATCATAAAAGTATATTAATTTCTTCGTATTTAGAAACCCACATAATTAAATCCTCAAACAAAAACATAAAATCGTTTCCAGTACTGAGTTAAATTGTTTTGATCCACTCTATTCCTGTAATGCGCATGCTCGGCATAGTATGGCAGCTAAGGGGTGGGAAAGGGGCGGGGACAAGCAGATGGAACAACTTGTCAATCAGCGTATCAATACCCAATTAGATACCGACTAGCAAAAGACCGAATGGAAAATGTCCAACAGAACAGAGAACGACTGGAAGAAAAGAAAAAAAAAACCCAGACGAAATAATCCCGGCAGGGAACAAAAAGACCAGGAAAAATGACCGGCAGGATAATACCAGGCAGGAAAACATTTTGAACTGCCATGAAGCTTTTAAGTAGATTAATGAGACGCGAACGTTTTGTGTAAAGAAAACAATGCCATGCTAAGCTTTAATGGGAGTCGCTAAGTCACTTCCTTGTTTGGTCACGTGATGTGAGTAAGCCATCACTAGGCTGCTACACATAACAAAAGATACTTCATCAGTGCTTCCCCAATGTCATGTTACTTAAAAATTTTACCTTTCAAAATATTCTGGAATACACGTGTTTTTTAAATGAAATCCATAAATGTGACAATAAATATACGTCAGTTATGATTAAAGGAAGAAAGTTATTTCAAGAAAAATTTGTGAGCGATATTCGATGGGAACTATCAATACTATTATCGGCAGGATGTTGTTGAGCTCCGTGCGTGCTCATGACGTCATTTGTGTTTTTATTCAATATTGATGCAGGAGTCATTTCCCTTTGTTTATTTTATTGTTAATTTTCATTGGACGAAATGTAGTGCAGTTGTAGTGTGTATCGGGCTACTGTTGTCAAGCACTAGTGTATTGCATACAGCCTACCGGAAGTCTTACTTGTTTTTACTCACATCACGTGAAAAATCAATCGACTAAGGGACTCCAATTATGGTTACACAAAATACAAATGTAAACCTTTCGGCAAATGCCCTCATCACTACAACAAAAGAAACGTCAACCCGAGGAACGTTAAGCGTGCCTGGGGCTCATCTGTCAAAATTCAAGTTCAAGCCGGGTAAATGTTACTAGTTGAATTTTTTTTTTCCAAAATGACCCATAGGCGTTTAATTTTAATGTATGTTGAATTCTTCGCAGCAATTTTGATTTTCTCTGAACAGTCCGAAGCAATCCACTGGCACAAGGCGGATTGAAACACGTTTGGTTGATACCTTTACGCCTACAACGATTTAGTAATATCGATTACTGAAATATAAAAGTGATAGTTTTTAATACACGGTTTACCATAAGGGGAGTGAATTTTCTAGAAGATATTTGTCAACTTTGTTGTTAGGGTAGTTTTCATGCTCCGTCGTGGGTTGCTTGAATGTTGTGTTCCCCACTGACGCTTACGTTTACTTATAGATCAGTAGAACAAAACCATTCATCGTTAATAGTGGACATTGGAGAGAGACTAACACTTCAGAACATACGAACATTAGGTGATCGTCTTCTAAAGACGGCAGGAGTATAATCATTTATAAAAAGATGCACACAGTTTTAACGACAAGACGTATTAGCGTAATCATTTATAATCAGGGGCACACGGTATTGACGACAAGGCATATCACCATAATCATTTATAATTAGGTGCACGCATTATTAACGATAAGGCACATCAGCATAAACATTTATAAGCAGGTGCGCACAGGATTAACGACAAGGCATATCACCATAATCATTGACACATGTGTATTTCTTTTTTTTTAAATATCATAATTTCAGCGTTAAAGGTAATCACTTATTGCAGCGCTCGTTTTTTTCGAACAACACTCGGTGGAAAACAACACTCAGTGGAGAACAACACTTAGTGGACAACAACACTCAGTGGACAACAACACTCAGTGGACAACAACACTCAGTGGACAACAACACTCAGTGGACAACAACAACATCAGTTTCAAGTCTGTTACAAATATTTATCGTTTTTTCATGAACTTTTTTTTAAACCTCATGAATTCATCCTCCATGTTTAAAGTAGGGCAATAAAATGGCTGAACCGTTTCTTTTAAATCACAGCAGGGACATTAAACGTTTGCCACCAATGGATGGTGTGCAATCAGGTAGAATCTTTAGCGCACCTAACAGCACTGGTGCTGATTCGCAACACGTATGTAGCACGCAACACTGGAGGCTGTGAGAAGAAGACAAATCAAGTCTTTCGTCAATTTTTAAATCAAAATTTGTAAGTAACTGGTGGTAAGTTCTTAACAAAAAGAAGCCTTAGAAAAATGAAAACTACTAAATACAAGGGAAGGGGCGGCAAAGGGGCATTTATGTGTCGGCCACACTGACATTAATGTACAAATATTGCTGGTTAAACCGGTGCAAACACACATGAAATTATCAATTTTTTTCTGGGACTGTCGATAATCGAGTAATTTTTTTGTTCATATTATATGTAGGCTATTTATCGATTGTAGAGGAAGAGTAATATTGACGGATATTGAAACTAGGCATATTCTATTGGTTTTGCATTGTGTGTGGATACTGTAAAAAAAAAAGTATCAAAATATTATGGTGTATTCATTTCTTCGAAAGATAAATAATATGACCACACCTTAAAGTGTACTTTTAACTTAATAATTCCAATGTCAAGGCATAGCAAAAAAAATGCGTCGGTTTTATTTCAACCTTGCAAATTTCGCATAGTACGCGTATATGCTCTAGGCATTGGTGTAGCTAGCCGGGTGACAACTTCTCAGCGGGTGACACCAAATTGAAAAGTTGCGTATTTGCAGAGCACACACTTGCTCGGTCTAACAAAATTTCGTAAAAGGATAACCAAACACACGTAAATTTTCCACACATATAGCCAATCCAAATGCATGCTTTATTAAAAGTTCAATGATGATGCTTCAGAAATGAGGTGACCCTATAATTATCTAGGTCAGAAAACACCGTTTTGACCATGATTCAACGCCGATTTAATTGACGGTAACTTTCCTAAATGACTGGAAGCTCTATTTATCTAAATTATGAGAAGTAAAACTTTCCATTAATACCAAATACGATAGGGTCGGGCGTCTCTAAGTATATGTGACAGCTCTTAAATACATTCACCCCCTTCACCCCCCCCCCCGATGTTCAATTAATTTATTTTTAATCTTGTCATTGTTATACTAGGACTTATTTTAACAAGAAGAGATTCCTCGTGAAAGACTTGGGGGAGGGGGGGTTGGTTACACCAGGAGTTTACCGCACCGGGTGACACCAACCCTAGCTTCTTGGGTGGGGGGCTTGGGGTTGGGGGCTTGGGGGGGGAGTGCAAAATTTCGAGTGTCCTATGGATCTCCGCAGGTCTTATCCTGAACTGGGCATAAGCATTGTCCTGAGCCTAAATAAGTCAGTACATTAATATTTATTCCCCAATATCGCTGACCCAAAAAGCAGTCGAAATGTTAACTTCAGTGTGTGACAGGGGAATAAGATATTCAGCTCACCTAACTTTTTAGTCTGAACAATATTTTTTGCAGTTTAATGAGTAAAACAAATTTATATTTACTAATATACGTATATATATATATATATATATATATATATATATATATA